TTGCTTCTTCTTTTTTAATAATTCTTTATTTTATTATTTTTTTTTGTTTCTATGGAAAGTGTCGAAAAAATAATATTTATAATCCAATTATATAAAAAAGAGAGCTTGAAATTATTTTTTTCTATCATCTTGTGCCGGTGTGTGCCTGCCTGCCAGTGTCTTCTTAATCGCCCCTCGAATTATTATTCGTTTCTATTCTCTGGTTGCGGATATTATTGCCATTACATATTCATATTTTTCTATATAAATTTTCATAAGAAAAGAGTTGTTGAAAGACTAGACGATTATAAAAAATAAGTTACTATCTGTTCTCGTTTTTTTTTTGATTTATAGATGAATTAAAATTTATATCATGAAATAAAATTAAATATAAAGGAACAAAAAAATGAGATGAAATAAAAAAGGCAAATATATGGGGAAAATGTACAATTAATGGAAACAGGTTGTTTTAACACTCTTAAAATTTCTTCATTATTACTATTTTTTTCAATGGAAGAGCTTTTCCAAGGGAAAGTAACGCAATATAAATTTATGGACTGCATTTTAAGCGCCATAAAGGCTATTGAAGTTAATTATAATAAAATATTTTGAAGGTATTAATAGGCAAATGGACGGTTGTAAATTTTCAAATTCTTTAATTAAATATTTTTTTTGAGGTTATGTTTATAAAGTCATTGAGAGCATTAACACTTGGAAGTGTGGATGGATGTTGGTTTCGGGTCAATGATTCTTGAGTATTTATTGATAGTTTTAATCTAAATTAGGAACCAATTTACTTCAAAATTTAACATTTCTTTAAACCTTTAATACTTTTGAATTTTTGAAAGCCGTTAAAATTTAAATTTTCAAAAGTCGTTAAATTTTCAAAATTTGAATTGGTTTTTCAGGATTGTTACAAAGGTTAATATTAAAATTCAATTAAATTTAAGAGTTTGTAATTTCGTCAAATAAAATTCGTTGCCCCAAAATCACGTCCTTCACAACGCCCATCCCTCGATATCCCAGATTTTTACGACATCCATTAAAATATGTTTCATAATATAATTCTTAATTTTGGGATAAAACCAAAGCAAATTGAACAAAAAAAAAAAGATCCAACAAATTTGCATACAAATCGCTGGGGTCAATATTGAGAATGAATCTTTTATAACCCACGAGAAAGGCAAGAAGAAGGAAAAATAAAGATTCCCGCACAGAAAACAGCCCAACACGAAGAAGAGATTTTCATTGATTTATTTTTTCCTCTTCTTCTCGCTTTCTGGCCCCGAAAAAAAAGAACAAAAATCAAAATATTAATGGAACAATAATTATGCAAATGAAGTAATAACAGTTTCTTTTTACTCATGAATCTCATCATCAAGCCTTTTTTCTTCTTTTATTGCTATTATTATTGTTTTTTATTGTTGTTCTTACATTTCGTGTGTAAAAGTTGTGATCGATAGAAAGCCTAAACATTGATGATGGGAGGTTCTTTTTTGGCAAGAAATTTTTTTTTCAATGAATTTTATGACTCGGCTAGTTCAACAGGCTAGAATCTAATAAACCGAGTGTTTTGACTTCTCATGAATACGTTTATTAGTTTTTTACCATTTTGTTAATTTTAATGGAACTGTTAAGTTTGGGAAGTTTGGCGTCAAGGCTTAATAAAGTTGTTTAAACTTTTTGAGGTGGGAAAATTTTTGCTGACGCCATTTTGAATTTTATAAAGCTGTTATAACTAAGGTCCCCAAAATCCTTAAAATATGACAACTCTCAAGTTCGAATCTCATAAGATAGCAAATTTTACAATAATTTATACGTAAAGCTAACTCAATGAAACATTACAGCTGGTTTTATTGAAATAAATTACTTCTTCCTTTGCAACAAAGGCTGCTTAAACTTGCTGTTGACCACCAAGTGACTGAAATGATTGAATTCAATTGAATGCGAGAGAAAATTCATCAATTCCTATTGAATGCTAATAATCAATTACTCAATTGAAATTGAAATTGGATGAGAAAGATAAAGAAAAAAAATGGCAAGCAGCAAAAGCAATGAACGCATAAATTACAAATTGAGATAGCAAAAGAGAAAATTCAACCAATTTGCAGACATAATCATATTCAATTCAATATGTGTATGCATATATGAAGACCTCTCGGCTTTTCATTGGAATTAATTCATCTAATTACATTTTGTAGCTAACATTTTGTTTTTGCCAGATTCAACTCGACCACCAGCGTGGTCATCATTTTGCCACTCTCAAAATAGTCATCATTTTCATTTATGCAACTTCATGATTGGCATTATTAATATTTACCCCACGGAGATATGGTGACTCCATTAAAAAAATATAAATAAAGAAGCTTGAAAAAAGTCACACAAACTTGTTGCCGATAATTACATTTAAATGCTTCAAAATGAGATAGTTATAACCGCAAATAGCCTAGCAATATGCAGAACGAGAGTCTCTGTATGTAATTATAATTTTCTTTATGCCAATAAGTTGAGTGTTTACTGAAAAAAAAGAAGGCAGAAAAGAGTTGTTGCGGCAAAATGCGATTGAATGAGTGAGTAAGATAGATAATCGGTGTAAGAGAAATGGAGAGTCGAGTCACGGTGGTCTCGTTTATATATCTCCTCAGTTTTAATGCGTTTTCGGAAAAATAATAAAAATGAGGAGCCTAAAAATGTGTATTTCTTCAGAGGTAATTAATACACAAATTTCAGTGTTTAAATGAGGAGGATGAGCGTTGAAATTAAGAGAGAGATTTTGTTGAGAACCTGATTTTTTTTTTGAGGATGTTAATCAATTCTTTTCTTCTAGTTGTTTTAATTTTAAAAGATCAAAACTCTTATTTTAGGAATTGATCTTTCAAATATTGATTTTTGTTTTGAATTCATAAGCTTTAGATTGACTGGATTGATAACCACTTACAACAATCATTTTTAAGTTTAGGAATCAAACCTTTGAATTTTTGAATTATTTCTGAGAGATTTAAATTATTCTCTTGAGAAGGTTTGGCAAAAAATCCCAATTTAATAACTTATTTGAAATTATTGAAAATCTCACAACCCCCCCCCCCCCCCCCCCCCCCGATTCTAAGCCTAAGAATCATCATTAATACTTACAATTTTCAATTAAAATCCTAAAAAAATACATAGAAAAATCTCCACAAATAAAGCTTAAAAATCCAGACCACTTTAGACACCTCATCAACTAATTCCACCTCCTTTTAATCATCAAAATCTTCAAAACCCTTCTTAAATTATCCAAAGTGTAAACTAGACCGCCCAGAAGAAGAAGTCTTTATACTTATTTTTTTCACAAGAATCTTTGCTTATTAAGACGGCAACAATTCAAATTAAAATCTCATCGCTCAGCTCTTTTATTTCATTCAATATAGTTTTTTTTTTCACCAAAACAAATCACTCAAAGGCACACAAAAAATGCCCAAGCAAGCACACATAAAAAAGAACAGAACTGAGGAAGAGAGAAAGAAGACTAATTAATTATTCAAAACGGAGAAATATTATAAACACTTTATTATTCATGGAGTATATCATTCGCGCGATTCACATTCTTATTATCTACATCTATTCATCTTTTTTACTTTTTTTTGTAAGTTTTTTTTTTATGAAGCATCAACAGCTACACAAAAAAAAAAGCTGAGACTCTTTTATTTTTAATTATTCAAGTGGACATTCATTGAAATTCTAAAGCAACACTTTCATGCAATAAGACGACAAAAGAAGAAGATTTTTTTTTATGAAAGCTTCATGGGTGCTAGTTTCATGCATGTATCGAGACTCTTTATGACAAAAGGAAGTAGATTATGATGATGATTTTGATTCTGTGTGTCTCTCTTTTAGAAACTAAAACGAAATCTGAGGTAATGAAATAAAAATGAGTTCTGGAAAGATGAAACTGAGTTGGGATTTTTGATTTTGAAAACTTTAACTGATTTTTGAATTTTGAAAATTTGTTGAGCTTATTTTGGTAGATTAAACGGTAACTTTTTGAATTCTAAGAGTAATTTATTTGAATTTTAACGGTCTTTTTTTGAACTTTAACGGTAATTTTTTGAATTTTAACATAATTTTTCGAATTTTAACGAATTTTCCTGGGGAGTTTACTGTAATTTCAAATTTTAAAAGGCCGTTATTTTTTCTATCATCAATTTTTATCATTTTTATTCCTGATAAGAAGCTTTTGATGCCTTTAAGATATGTTTGATGAATATTATTCAAAATTGATTTAAATCCACTATAAAAATGTAATTTAATGCTTTAAGAAATCTCCAAAATCACAAAAACCACAATGTTAAGACCCCCAACCCTGCACCAAATCCAGATCGATCTCGTCCGATGAAAAAAACATTGACGATTCATTAATTAATTTCTTAAGACGCTAAAAGAGAAATTTTATGTAAATTGACTTTTGTGTGTGATTTGAGATCTTCTTTTTATGTATATTGATGAATAATATTTAACTTAAGGTATAAGACGGAAAAAAATAATCTCACAGTCCATTTCAAAAGGTATATTGAGCATCTTAAAGAATAAAACAAAAAAAAAATAAAAAGCACAGCAAGAGTCATCATCATTTATGTTAATCGTTTGTTTTCCTTGTGGAGGTCCATTAAATATGTGAAGGTCATTCTCATTTTTTTTAAAATTCTCATTAACGTTTATTGCTTGATAAATTTCTATATCTTCGACTTCTATGAATGAATGAAAAGACACAAGAACCTCAAAAAGATCAGCGAATATTAATCGCGGATGAGAGAAATTTGTTATTGATTTTTATGGGAAAGTTAAATTTTTTTGACCTCACCGAGTTAGAATCAATTAACATATTCTCTTCATTTGTTGTGCGTAGACATATAACAGTTGGTGCCAGACGACTTTATACTGGCTCCTCCAGACTATTAAAATAAAAAAGATTTATATACATGCGAATTTTTTTTCTTTAATGACTCATTAACTTATCTGTTCCTTTATTTTGTATCTATTTACAGACAATTCTGAACTCAATGCACAAATATCAACCTAGATTTCATCTAGTCCGAACCACCGACATCCTCAAATTGCCGTATTCAACTTTTCGAACTTATGTCTTTAAGGAAACTGAATTCATAGCTGTGACTGCATATCAAAATGAGAAGGTGAGTGTTTTGGGATTTAATAAGGTTTAAATAAGTGGTTTGAGGTTCGAAACCTATCGAAGTTGAAGACTTATTTGTAGAAAGACAAATTCCGTCCCTCAAATATATCAAAACCAAAGAACCCATACCCAAATCTAGTTGAGAATCAATTCCTTCTAAAGCCAGGACATCTAACAACCCCATTCAATATAAAATTCCAATTTAAATTTGATTCCTAACATTTACTTTTTTTTCACGCAGATAACACAATTAAAAATTGATAATAATCCCTTTGCAAAGGGATTTCGTGATACTGGTGCTGGAAAGAGGGAGAAAAAGTAAGTAGACATGAAATGAAAAATTTAAATAATCCAACAAATCAATCAATTTAAAGTTGGTTCTTTTGCGGCAGACTGAGACAATCTTGTTACAAATTCAAATTTATAAGTAATCTCATACGAATGTAGTAAGTCTATAAGCCTATCATCATGACGATGTAATGTGTCTTACAACATGATGTATGTTTTAATATAAACGAAGCATTAAATTGACGTCTAATGCGAAAATTAAAGACCAGCCACACATTTGCATTACATTATAATCTTTGGATGATTGAAAAATTAAAGGAACTGCTTTTTTATACTGCAGTATAATCATCTTTAAATAACATTTCTTCATGCTCACCCTCACACATTTCACATTTAATCTTGTTGATGGATTTTGGATTGTAATTTTAGTAAATAAAGCATCATCCAGTGGACTTTTGATCCCTCAAAAAAATTGTCTTGTGTCAGTTTGGCTGAGATTACTAGCAGGGCTGGCTCTAAGATAGAAGCAATATATGTCAAATAATAGTTTAAAATAGTCCAAAAATACGTAAAAATTCAAATTTCAAATAGCCGTTACAAACTTCAAATTTCAAAAAGCCGATAAAAATTCAAATTTTTAAAAACCTATAAAAACTGTAAAATAAATAGTTTTCCCATTAAATGCGTTTATATCGTTAAATCAATAACACTGAGACTTTCTTAATTTCCTGTAAGGAAAAACCAATTCGACACCCACATACGAATCCAATTCTCAAAAGAAACTGTGAAATAAAAAAAATCGAGGGTGACACAAAGAAAATGTTTTAAAAATTGTTTACAACGAAATTGATATCTATTGACAAAAAAGGACGAGAAAATCACTCAATATGTATAATCAGATGTCGTATAGTGAATGTAAATATTTATTTTGAGGGTATTAGATTTAGCATTACTACTGTATATTTACAACTCAATTTATTTATGTCAATTTAAACGAAGAAAGGCCTCCGTCAGGATTAAAAAAAAGGGAAGCAGAACTGACTAAAGGTTGATCTTTAATTCGTTTATTGAAATCAATCATGCGAATAACTTGAAAATGCAATAAATAAAAGTATGAGAGAGAAAATTACATGAAGCATCTTGCAATTGTTATGTTAGACATTTATATTTGTTGTGTGTGGGACATACAATCGATTTAAATGACACAATAGGGGATTTGCTATATTGTCAATAGAATAATGAATTTAGGAGATTTTTAAGGGAATTTTTTGGAATATATGGAATGAAATATTAGAAATGATAAATATTAAATATCATGCACTTGAATTTTACATGCCATTTGCTAATGGGATAACAATTTCTTATTTATTGATGAGAGGATTTGAATGAATTTTTCGGAAGATTATTGAAGTAATTGTTGGAATTTATGTCAAATTTATATAAAAGAATGTTTATAATAATATAAATTAATTCATCAAAATGATGCTGTAAAGGTTCGAATCCTGATTACATACGAATTTTTCGTTAAAGGTTTTATTGAAAAAATTTTTTTCAACGCCGTTCAATTTTTTTAATTTTTATTTCATTTTTCTTTTTTTGTATCTTAGCGGTCAGCAACTCACCAATTCTTCAATTAGGTAATTACCAATTCTAAATTAATTCCTTTTTAAAATTTATAAATCCCATTAGATGGCTGAATTTGAGAATCTTTCTACAATTTAAACAAAAGTTCACCAACTTTATGATTTAAAGTTGTTCTATATCAAGAGGTTTTATATTTAAAATCTTCAAAAATTAATTGAAGCTTTTAAAACAAATTTGGAGTTGATTAAAAAGCAGAATTTGCTGACTATCATTTAAGATTTAAATTCAGCAAAAAGTTGTGTTGAAATTATGAAGTTGCAAGATCCAAAATAATGGAAGTCGGGTTCAATTCCCAAAAATTTAAATAAATTTTTCTGCGTTTGCATTTAACGTATTTTACTCTTTTTTTGCAAAAATTACTTTTAATCATGAGACACTAGGATTTTTGCGGTTTTGATACAAAATCTAGTGAAAAACCATCAAAAACTGTAAATTAGAAAAAAAAAATCAAAATTTGTTTAAAAAGAGTTAAGTTTTTCTTAAATCCTAGCAAAAATAAAACATAAATTTCAAAATTACTTACTGTTTGTAAATTTTACAGCAAACAATTTTTGTCTCTTTTTAATAAATTATTATTTGGATTTGATTTTTGTTTTTCATTACAATATAATAATACTTACCAACCGATTAGCAAATTTGTTCTCTGCTCAATAACTTTTCAATATTAAACCAATACTGTATGATACAAACTTATAATTTGGAATTCGTTTGTTGATTCAGAAAATATAAAACTTATTTTTAAATATTACAGTTTTGAGTACAATTTTTAAGATAACGTTTGATACCAAACAATTTTCTAGCTATTTTTTTAAAGAAAGCAATTTTAATAATAATTTTCAAAGCAAAAATTGTTGAGAAAAAAAACGCAAAAATGTTTACTGTGATGAAATTTGCAAGTTCTCCAATTTGTATTGGAAAAAAAATTGTCGAAAAATGAAATTTTCGCAATACTCTTTCCGATGCAGTTTATGACCGAAATTTTGATTGGAACTGATGAGAATCATGATTTAAGACCTTTTGACATTTAAAAATTTTTACTTGGATGTTCCTATAAATTTGACTTATTCAATTTCGTTTGTGGAGTACTTGTAAATTTCATCAGAGTAAACATTTTTGGGTTTTCTTAGCAATTTTTGCTCTGCCCCCCCCCCCCCCCCCCCTCTCCTGCAAATTCCAAATATATTCTTCAGCTCACCACAAAGTCGTAATCTATTGCAATAATGTATTCTCACTGAATTCCCTCAAGATCATTAACTATATCCAAGCAATTGATACGCAAAACAGCACAATTTATCCACAAACATTTCATTGCTACAATTTAAATCTCATTGTTAAGTGCAACAATAAATATTTACGATTGTGATTTTTTTCTTGTGCTATGTTATGCCATCCAACCCCTTTTATTCCTAGCTGTGTCATTTGTAAAACTCTTCCATCAACTTACAAATTCCATAATTAAATGTATCAAATTCTTAATGCAACCCCAATTATGTTTGTTTTGTTGACAATTAAATTCATCACTAAATACTTTCTTTGCATGATGACTGTGAATGTCCTCATTATATGATACAGCAAAGTTACCCTTTAATACTGTTAAATGCTGTAAATTGCTATCGCCTATAAATAAACTGTATGTCTATTATAGAGTGAAAGAGGGATTGAAAATTAACGGATTTGCGATCGAATGCTCTCGCTGTGAAAATTATAAACCCTTTTAGTGGTTTCACATTCACATAATATGCTGATCTTGCTGGCTGGTGAAAGGGAGTTGCTATGTTTGCGACTGTGGAATGTTTCATGAATCAATAAGGCCGTCATGCAGTTTGTGGATGTTTAAGATTGAGTTTTCGATGAGCTGGGCAAAGAGATTTTCAAGCGCATTTTTCTCAAGATAATTTAACAGACTATTAAAATTTGAATTTTGTAAGTCAAAAATGCTCTCACCTGGAAATGTTTTTTGTGAATTTAAGTCTTTTAAACCATGAATTTTAGAGATATTTTTGTTGATTCTTATAGAAATAAGTGGCAAGATATAGATAGTGTATAAGATGTGAGCTAGTTCCTTCTAATTTCATAGAAATTTAAAGAAAAAAAATGAGTAATTTATTTTTCCAGAACATCTCACAAAACCGCGCTGTTAGAAATCAATTATGCATCCAACAATTTTTATTACACACAAAAAAGTAGACAAAAGAGCGTGCAGCGATTATTGAAATTAATAGTCCCGAAAGAAAAAAATTGTGCGCAACATCTTAACTGTGCGACAAATCTGAAATTTCACGTATGAAGGCAACAAGAAACTTCGTCTTTATTTTCATGTGTCATTAAATATGAAACAAATGTGTCATACAGCTATTCGCATGAATTGTGAGATAATTTGTAGCCTCGAGGACTTATTTCTTTTCTCTCCTGACTTGAACTTGCCATTTAATCCCTCTTTCGAGTAGAATGAGAATGTTGATTGTTTCCATTTTTCATAATTTACACTTTTATTGTCTGCCTGCAAGGCAAGCAATTTTATTATTGTGTGAATGTGCAGAGCATTCATTCATCGGATCTACACTAAAATACATCCAATTAAGATTGAATTCAATTGTTGCGCTTTTCCGAACATGAACAATTTTTTTGCCGCTACTGCTTGTGCTGTATATGAGAGAATTCATTTTCTTTTTCTACTTGGTGTGCCTGTACAGCACGAGATGAATCATAAATATTTTTTTCGCTTAATTTCTCTGCTGATTTATACACATTTATAGAAGCAGCAGTGGCAAGGCGCATAGTTATGATTCCTGTGCTATTTCATGCATCAACCGCTTTTATAGCATTCCAATTCATTTATTTTTATATTTTTTCATCTAATTTCGACAATGTTTTGTCGCCTCCTCCTCAATTGTACATTTATTTTTTGTTAAACGAAATTAAATTAAATTTTTCCTGAACTGCAATTTTTTTTCCTCCGCAACCCTACAATTTCAATCTCTCTGGCAATGCTATGTGTTGCTTTAGATTCACAATATCGTGCCCAATTTATTGCGAGTCAAAATTATTATTCATTGAGATATGACAGAGGAAATTTTTATGAGGATAAAGTATAATTTATTGTGAAATAATTCAATTAATTAATTTCTGGATGCTGCATTTGTTCTGATTTTATTTGATTACATTTGATTTTGTTGGGAGACAAAAAAAAATAAAAACTTTGAATATGTTTTAAAAAAAACAAAGTAGAATAAACCAGGTGATTTTTGAAATTATCAAACTCACAATATTTTAGGATTCGAAACTGCAATTTTTCTCTCATTTCTTTAATTTGAAAATTTTTTTCATCTTTACTTTATTGTGGAGAATAAACTAAACTTAGTTTTAATAATAATTTTAATATGAACATTTTCAAGATTAATTTTTCAAATTATTAAGTTGGAGAAAATGTTTTAAGAGTCTAAAATAAAAATAAAATTAAGAAAATTATCAAAAACTCAAACGTTTTGGCCGAAGTGAAACATATTTAAAATGTTTATGGGATACGAACCCTCAATTCAATTTTTTTCTGAAGTTTGCATTCTATTCAATGGTACTTTTAATAATAACAGACCAGCTAAAACTCAACTTAATTATCCAATAAAATCTTATCAAACTTAAAAATTCTAATTTCTTCAACGCCCATCAACCAAAGTCCCCTTCATTTACTGGGGGTCCTCGATTTGAGTAGATTCTATTTGAGTAGATTCGATTTGAACAGAAAATTTTTTACTCACCAAAATATTCGATTTGAGTAGATTTCTTCGATTTGAATTGTTTACAAAACAAATATTTTTGATAAAAACATTTCAGAAAATATTTTTAAAACATAAATTATTCTGCAATAAGCGTGAACTTATCATGTTGATCGAAAAATCAATACTAAAGTTACAAAATTAAAGTAAAAATTTAAAAAATCGATATAAAATTAACGGTTTTAAAAAGTTCAAATTCAAAAACCCTACAAATTGTTCGGTTAAATAACATTTGCAAGTTTCTCATATTTTTGTTTTGTTTCAAAAACATATTTCTTGTGAATTTCTGTTTAAAAACAATATGAATATGCGTCGAAATAAATTAAGTTATCTAAAACACATAGGTAAAGTTAAGAAACGAGGTAAAATGTGCAAAAAATTATCATAATTTTCATTGTTTTGATACATTTTTTGGACTCTGGAACAAAACATGTGATTTTGTATGGATTCTTTGCCTCGATTTGAATAGATTCGATTTGAGTAGAAATTTTTTGGAACAAAACAACTACTCAAATCGAGGACCCCCAGTAGTTAAATCCGAAACAAAATCAAATTACCAAAAAAAAGAACTAGAAATTAAATTTTCACCATTTAAATTATCCAAGACCATTCCCAATATTCTTCCTCATAAATAACTCAATTTTCATTATCGCGTCTTGTGCATCATCAACACTAAGCCTTTTGTTAAATTGTTGAGGTGTTTTCTGTCTTCACCAAACATTTAAAAAATAACTTTTTCCTTTTGTTTTTTTTAACTTTTATTTTAGATATAAAATTTATGTTCTACAGGGAGTGGTTTTAATTTAGCATTAAATTTGCATAAAACATTCTTTTGCACCCGATGAGATTATTTTCACTTTTTTTTTCATACTCAATCCTCGAGCTATATTTGAGGGAGGGCAATATAGAACACTTTTTTTCTGTTGAATAGATTGAAAATTTAAATATTTTTTCAGTTTAGTGCGATAGATAACAGCTTACCTATGAAGGAATGAAATATTTTGCATATTTTTCAAAGTGTTCAGCATCGAGGAAATTTATATGCAAATGTTTGGCACCACCTTTTATGACTCCCATTTGATAGAAGCGTTAGAACTGCTTTCTTTCTGTCTATGATAGCAGCAATTCCGCAATAGATATAAATTTTCATGACTAGGTGTCTCAAGCACATCCACATCCACATATGCACATGAAACTAGAGAATTTATTTTTTTATATATTTTCTGCAGAGAATAAAAAAAGAACTCCTTTTCAAGTCTCGTTGCCATGACAGTGCAGAATGGAAAAATCAACGAGTATGACTATGACTATGATGATGATGATGATGTTATGAAAACATATAAAACAGAGAAATAGATAAATGGAAATTCATGTTGAGATGACTAGGCATTTTGCACATATATAAATCTTAAAACATTGATGTGTGATGTTGATAGTCAGCCTCACACGATGCTCCGAATAAATAAAACAAAAATTGCTGTTGATATTGAATTAAACTTTTTTTTCGTTTCCAATGGTTTTAAAGAATTAATTGTGAAATAAATTTTGAGGAATTTATTACTTGATTGAATTGAATGAGATTAGAAACTAGTGTGAAATATTTCCATAGAATATTGTCAAATTTTTGTAAGAAAAATATTCTATCAAATTAAATGATTCTTGAATAAGGGAGAATGGAAATTTCGACCAGGGCTTTGCACCTAGCTTGATCTGCAAAAAGTTTGAGATAAGCAAAAAAACCCAATATCGCAAAAAAAGTCAAGACACACTTTTTGAATCATTACAGAAAAGGATTCGAACCTCATTTGAAACTTTACTTTTTACCCTTTTAAGACTCTAAAGAGGCCGTTCACTTAGGACGTCCAGAGGGGGGGGGGGGGGGGGGGTTAGCAAAAAAAGAACAATAGAAATTCCAGGAAATCCATTGTTCTTTTTTGAAAAATGACCGTTAATTTCGAACGTCATAAGTGAACGACCCCAAAATTTGTAACTTAATTATGCACTCAAGGAAGTGGAGTTGACAGGCGAGATATTAAATATAAAGTGAATAAAATTATTCAAAATAAAATTCCACTATTATTTTTGAAAAAAGTTCGTTATTTCTTTAAATAATAACCAAACCCCCTACACCAGAAAAATTCCAAATGTACCACAAAGACACTGCTCATCTCCAACCAGCACATCCAACTCATCACCAGTCACACAACAAAAAAAAAAAAACGTAAAAGATATGCTTCATTTAATTCGAAATGAAATAAAAATTTGTTCACCCTATTTAATGTTAATTTACGACTGGATGGATATGCCTCTGTCGTCAATACTAACTGTCTCACCCTCGCTAGTGAATTGGGGTAGAGATGTGCATTCACTAAATTAATCAAATCTTCTTGAAAACATAAAAAATATCTCGCGTTAAATTGTTGTGACTGTATTTATTTTTGTAAGTCATTGTCAGTCAAATTACCTCCCTCGAAAAATACGTTTAAGGAATTACAGAAAAAGGCATTTCAATTAGCATGATGCTCATTATTTTGTGAAATTGAAACCTCATAAAAGTGAATGGGGTTGAAGATTAAAATTCTGGTCATGATGATAGTCATGTCTATGGCTTGAATTAGATCATTAGTGCAGTGATTCTCTCATTCTCAGTCTGTCTCTATTGTCATCTCCATACACAAGACTTGTTCATTCCTAATTAATTTTTTTTTCTCTTCTATGTCTATTTCCAATTGCAGCCGACAATCTCTAATGTCATCACAACGCTCTGATGGTGATAAATTGAATCCGAGTCAAACATATAGTTCATCGCGCGGACCATTGGGACTTCACGATGCTCGACATCATAATCATCTTCACTTAAGTCAACACCATATTGATGATGATGATAAGCTTCTTGATGTCGTTGGTCCACCGCAGAGTCCATTATTATCGTCACTCCAACAAATGCAATCGCAAGCTCATGGTGAGTTATTTAATTACAAAAAAAATCAATGTCGTCTTCTTATAAATCATGATTACTTACAATGCCTTTCAATTTCTCTCTATGTCTATTTTTCTTCACATGACTCTACATGATATGTTTCGCGTCATTACAATTACAAAACAATAACGAATAATCATGTCTACGTAGGTTGGTTTAATCATTTTGCTACTGAAGCACATATGGAAGATGTACGTCGAAGGCTACAGGGTGCCGATGACAACGAGAAAGATGGAAGTGATTCAAATTGTTCGGATAATGTGAGTAGTGGTGGAGCATTTCGACCAACGGGTGCGGGTAGTCCAAAAGAGAATTCAAAGAATAACTCGAGTTCATCATATCCATCGCCAAATATATCTGTTGGACCGCCAATACAACCACCGCCACATCTATTGCCTTACTTATATCCGCATGGAATTTATAATCCAGTAGCACCCCCATTGTCACTGCTACATAATCCCGCAATGAATCCCGGACTCTTTTTGAATGCTCAATTGGCATTAGCTGCACAGCATCCAGCATTATTTGGACATTATTCGGGTCATTCACCATCATCGCCACTACATAACCTCAAATCGCATCGCTTCTCGCCATATAGCCTACCTGGTTTACATCAAGGCTCTGCCTTCGATGCTGTCACGCCGGGTCAATCAAATTCAAACTCAATCGGACCACCCGAGAGGAGTTTAAGTAGTAGTCCACCAGCATTATCATCACATAACCTCAATGTAAGTTCACCATCGTCAAATAATCGTTCGCATTCAATATCACCCACACAACGTCCGCTGTCACAACAATCATCGTCAGCATTCACGCCGCAGGTTCCTTCATCCAATAACAACAATACGATAAATAATAATAACAATAATAATGAGAAGAATGGAAATAAAAATGGAAATGGCATAAGTAGTAGCAGCAACAACAACAATAGTACAATTGAGAAAAACTCAACGACAGCATCGGAATTGAAGAATATGGAAAAGATGGTGAATGGCTTAGAAATGCATCAAAATGGCACAATACCGACATCATTAGCATCATCTGGCTCATTACGATCGATATCGCCTGATGATCAAAAGAAAATCATTAATCTCGATCAGTGACATCAGTATACTAAATTTGACGATGCTAATATTATTGATTTAGATATCTGACGGATGGATTTGAAAAATCGATAAAACTAAAAAAACAAAAACCTTTTTCTTATACCTAACCTATGAGAATCAGAATTATGTGCAAATATGAATAAAGAAATTTTATTGTAATTAATTAATTTCTATATATTATATATACATAGCATAAAACAGAACCTATTAAATGATTTTTAAATTTTAAGGTGAACATAAAATGAAAATTTGTACAAAAAAAATTGATGATTTTTAAGACAAACTGTACAGTTTCTGTTTCTACACACACACACACACACATACTATCAAAATTATCATCATAATTTGAGGAATCACACTGAGATAATGAAGAGATTTTTAATTTTTCACATTCAGGCTCTGCATTTTAGTTTGGAATGGGATGCGATGGACTTTATGAATAATCTATGGATGGATATGCAAAATATCACCTGATTATTATTTTAAATGAGTTTTTTTGTTGCTCGAAATTATGCAAAATGTTGGCGAGAGAAATTCTTGGAAATTAGGAGGTATCCACCTAGTGTTATATTTAACACTGGAGGTATTATGGGATGAATTTTAATGCAATTAGCTTCGATGGTAAATTATAGGCTATTGAATATGATAATTAGGGGCTGGGTTGGATGAGAAATTGATTTGGATTTAATGGTTTTGGAATAAATTTCATTTTTTCAATTCAAAACTTTTTTGTTTTGAAAGAATTTTTGAAAACATTTTTAATGGTTTTCAACTATTTTAATTACTAACGGTTTTCTAATATTTGAATTCGTAACGTTATCCAAATATTTGAACAAATAGCGGTTTTTTAATTATTTTAATTCTTATTGATTTTCAAACATTTTAATTTTTAACGTTTTTTAAATATTTGAATTTTGTTGTCAATTTTTAAAACTCAGTTACTAAACTTGAAAATTCATATTTTAAAAGAACTCAAAAACTTAAAATTTAAAGTAACGTTTTTAAAAAATTAAAATTCTTAAAGGATCTGAAAAATTCAAATTTTTTAACAAATTTCTGTTCCCGCCTGTCTGTTTCTCGTTTCAGTTGTTAAAAACTCAAAAATCTTTCCATTTTGACAAATTGAAACTAAAAATTCCAAATTAAATGAACCAATTAAAACTGATCTAAGCAAAACTCCATAAAAAACAAGCCTAATTCAAATACAAAAGCCACATTAAAGAACATCTGCATTGATATTAAATGACCGCCATCATAATTATTCAATCGATTCCATCATCAAAATTCTATTCCAATTCTAAAGAGATTTTATGATGAAAAATTGCCCTGAATTAAATTCAACAAAAAACCAAAAAAAAAATTAAATTCACAAAAAAAGAACTTTTTCAATTTCAAACCATTCGCATTAATTAAATTCATAAAAAGACACAGTAAAACGCAAGAGACATGGGAGAGAAAAAAAAGTTTAAAATAATGAACTAAATAAAAAATACCAAAGATATTGATTAATTTTGATGATTATAGGGGAGATACTAACTACTGACTATATTATATATTTAATATATATTTGTTTAATGTTTCACATAACACTGAGATGGCTGCCATTTTTATTTCTCGTCTCGTGACGTTCGCAAAAGAGAGGAGAAAAAAAAACTTTTTTTTTCTTGTGCGTCTCAAATCACAAACATGCAGCGAACGAAGAATTTTTTCCTTTTAGTCTTTATCGATTTTTTTTTCTTTATGTCTCTTGCTTCATGTGTCGAAGAAGTTCTTTTCTACATTTGCAAAAAAATAATGTGTTAGGTTTTTTGATGTCCTCAAAATGTTATAAATGAATCAGCAACAAACTACTATTGGGAACTTGAGAGATTTTCTGTTGAAATTTTAAATTTTTAACGATTTTTTGAAATTTGAAATTTTTTGATTTAAAAAAGATGCATAAATGATGCAAAAACTTACGGAAGTGATGCAAAACATGATAAAAATGATGCAAAGTTTTATAAAGGTGATGCGAAACGTTTCAAAAAAATAAAAATCTTTCATAATAATGCAAAATGTCTTAAAAGTGATGCGAAATGTTTCAAATTGATGCAAATTGCCTCAAATGTGATGCGAATTGTATTAAAAAGATGCTTAATATTTCATTAGTGATGCGAAATATTTCAAATTGATGCAAAACTTAAAATACAAAAAAAATCAATGATGCGTGTTTCAAAATTTTTAAAAAGAGGCGAACTTAGTTCAAATTTTCTTATGCATCTCTCAAATGAAGCAAAAATAATTCAAATTTCAAAAGTCCGTTAAATTTTTCAAAAATTCTCTCTTCCCACGAACAAAAAAATCATTTGCAATATTTTTTAAATATAAACATAACTTAAAATGAATTTGTAAATGTAAATTAATTTTAGTTGATAACTTAAAAGGAAATGATAAAAGCTCAATTCTTAATGTTTTTATTTTTTCAAATTTTCGTCAAAAACAAAAAAATATAAAGACAAGGTGGAAACGAGCTAAAAATGTAAATAATTAACAAATTTATTGAGATCAGATAAAGAAATGAATTTTTTTCTGTTTAATAGACAAATTGAGCAGTTTCAATATATTATATTTGGAATGAATGAACAAAAAAAAACTCACAATTTTAAAGCAATATTAATAAAAGGAAAAACACAAAAAAAAAATAAAGCGGTTGACATAAAAAATCAATTAACCCTAAATGAATGGATATGGACAAAAAAAATTAGAAAATTTTATAAAAATTAAAAAATCATTTTATTAATTCCAATTTTTGAAAATACCGTTTATTTGGTAACAAAAAAAGAATTGCATTCGATTATTTATAAATATGAAGAAAACAAACACAAAAAAATCCATTCAGAGATAAAAAAAAATTATTAAAGAAAACAAAAAAGTGAAATAAAAAATAAAATAAAAATTTATTTAAAATAAAAAATAATTGACTTATTAATTTTTTCAATGTCTTGCTCCTCCGTCGGCATGGAATTTCTCCTTTTGCATGCGCGCTGATGTTGATGATTCAATTGAATATTGGAAACTTTTGTTTTATTTCTGTTTTCAGATGTTGTGGTTCGGGGGAGGGGGGGGGGGGGGGGGGGGGTTCTGGTTGCATGTGAGTTGATTGAGATTGAATTGTATTCTAGGCTAGGAAGTTCAAAATTCCAGATTCGAAGTATTAATAAGAACATGAAATGTGACAAAATGTTAAATTATTCAAAAAAGATTGGGTTCGAATCTCAAAGTTTAATTAACATACAGTTGAGCCAATCTTACAATATCACTTATTTTATTTTTTTTTTTAAATAATTAAATAACCTTAAAACAGTTTCAAGCAAAATAGCATTAAAACAACATCCAATCCATGCACATCACAATTACACTTCATACACATCAAGATCCAATTTTTCAGCACCTCTTCAAAATATCATCATATAAAAACATGCATTTTCCATATCACGAAAGTATCATCATCAGATGAATATGTTGATGAGCCATAACGATTATTTCCTGTATCACATTAGGAGCATGCCTTATTATTCATCAGCAAGATGGGTGGCTTTTTTTTCTCATCGGAAAAAGACATTTTTTTTTCTTTCTCGTCACTTGGCAGTGGCGTAATGAAAGTCTGAATGCAAATTGATGGGAAGGAAAACATTTATGGGAAAAAGCTCTTATTCGTCAATTATTGATTATTTGCTAATTGTCGTCTCAATTATTCATTTTTATATGCTTGCAGTTTTCGTAGTGGAAAGTGAATTGCAGATGGAGTCTTGTGTAATGGAAATGAAGGTTGAATATTAATTTTCATTAAAACCGTTAAATTTTGAAAATTTGAAGTCTAGTGACAATCAAATTTTCAAAAACCGTTAACATTCAAATTTTCAATAACCGTTAAAATTTTAATTCTCAAAAATCGTTAAAATTCAAACTCTATTAATACTTCATTCTCGAATTCCATTCAAATTTAGACATCCACAAACAAAATTCAAACCATTTCAAATCAATCAAACTCAGGCAAACACGCCACTGCCAAAAAAGAATTAAAAGCATTTCGACCGAGAGAAAATAATCAACAGATTAGCCACTAAAGCATATAATCGTCCACTTATGTGTTGCCTTATATTTGTCCATCACGAGATTTTGTCGAGTCGCGACTCAAACACAAAACTCACATCATTTCAAAATAAATTATCCAAAATGATAGTTCTTACTATAAAATGAGTCTTAATTTCTTTCAATCAAGATTATCAAGCTAAATGGAAACGAAAAAGCTCATTTTTGAGTAAATTTGAATGCTCTATTCATGTGCGCCTTCACAAAAGCCACAAAAATAATTTCATTTTGATCTAGATGGCAACTGAATTTCATGTCATTTTGCATGTCAATTGCCTTGTGTGTGTTCCGTTCCATCCATTTTATTTATTATGAAAGTCAAATGATTTTTTGTCATGAAAAAAGTTGTTATCAATAAAATTATAAGATAAAGCCTCGAGTCGTCTGCGTAAAATTACCCGAGCTACACCTTGTCATGATTATAATTGTAATGATGGATAATGAATGATTTTGGAATTATCGACATGTTTTTAAGATGTTGTGCGTTTTGCAATGGAAATGAGTGCATGTAGTGTGAAGGTTTGGTTGCTATTTAAGTTTTGGATTTTTAATTCAATTAATTTTTGTAACGGTCGAAATATATTTGAAATGATTTAAATTTTCCTGAGGATTTAAAAAAATTGTTAAAATTCAAATCTAGAACTTTCGTTGTAATAATTCAAATTTGATTGGTTCGTTAAAATTATAATTTGATTGATTCGTTAAACTTCAAATCTGAGAATATCGTTAACATTCAAATCAAAAAATTTCGTGAAAATTCAAAATTGAAAAATACGTTAACATTCAGAAAAGTGTTTCCTTATTAATCAAGAAGATCTAAAGTCTAAAACACTAAAATCTATAGCAACAGACTTAACAACAAGCTCGGGCAACCGATTTGTTTTAAACTGCAATTTAAAGCATTTTTGGTTTTGATCATAGTAGGCTATTTTCAAAAAAATATCAATTTTATATCTATATTAGCATTCTTTATCATTTATAATACCTAGATATGTTTTAAAATGCAATTTAAAGCATATTTGGTTTTGATCATAGTAGGCTATTTTCAAAAAAATATCAATTTTATATCTATATTAGCATTCTTTATCATTTATAATACCTAGATATGTTTTAAAATGCAATTTAAAGCATATTTGGTTTTGATCATAGTAGGCTATTTTCAAAAAAATATCAATTTTATATCTATATTAGCATTCTTTATCAGTACTTATACCTTTAATTATAATAATTTATAAACCTACAATCTAGTCTAATCTCAACAAATTTCCTTAAATTATGTTAAACGTTTTTGAAACAAATTTAATTAATAAATCTACAAAAATCATCGCTTTTTCTGGGATTCTATTTTTGGGCAACCCTATCATCATCTCTAATGATATTAAATTGACATCAATTTCTTTTAGAAATGAAAATTCAGTGTGAGAGGCGAGACAATAACAGGAAATTATTATAAAAAATTATTTTTTCAGTGCCTGTATCCACACAATAGGCAAATTAATTTACTGTCTATCTCCTCGAAAAAAAAAGACACACAGAACTAATAGATAGCTACCAAATGTAGATATTGAATTTATGAATATTTTAAAATTGAG